AAACATCTCATGGATGATCAATGGAAACAGGATGCACCTGAGCTCAATTTCGAGTCTCATAGCAAAGGGTCTGAATACTTATGTAAATATGTTTTTTTCTGTTTTTTACTTTTAATAAATATGCACAAAAAAAATACAAACCTGTTTTTGCTTTCTCATTATGGGGTATTGTGTGTAGATTGCTGAGGATTATTATCTTTTAAATCCATTTTAGAATAAGGCTGTAATGTAACAAAATGTGGAAAAGGTCAAGGGGTCTGAATACTTTCCAAAGGCACTGTATATACAGTACCAGTCAAAAGTTTGGACACACCTACTCTTTCAAGGGTTTTTCTTTATTTTTAATATTTTCTACATTGTAGAATAATAGTGAAGACATCAAAACTATGAAACAAGACATATGGAATTATGCAGTAACCAAAAAAGTGTTCAACAAATCAAAATACACTGCTCAAAAAAATAAAAGGGAACACTTAAACAACACAATGTAACTCCAAGTCAATCACACTTCTGTGAAATCAAACTGTCCACTTAGGAAGCAACACTGATTGACAAATTTCACATGCTGTTGTGCAAATGGAATAGACAACAGGTGGAAATTATAGGCAATTAGCAAGACACCCCCAATAAAGGACTGGTTTTGCAGGTGGTGACCACAGACCACTTCTCAGTTCCTATGCTTCCTGGCTGATGTTTTGGTCACTTTTGAATGCTGGCGGTGCTTTCACTCTAGTGGTAGCATGAGACGGAGTCTACAACCCACACAAGTGGCTCAGGTAGTGCAGCTCATCCAGGATGGCACATCAATGCGAGCTGTGGCAAGAAGGTTTGCTGTGTCTGTCAGCGTAGTGTCCAGAGCATGGAGGCGCTACCAGGACAGGCCAGTACATCAGGAGATGTGGAGGAGGCCGTAGGAGGGCAACAACCCAGCAGCAGGACTGCTACCTCCGCCTTTGTGCAAGGAGGAGCAGGAGGAGCACTGCCAGAGCCCTGCAAAATGACCTCCAGCAGGCCACAAATGTGCATGTGTCTGCTCAAACGGTCAGAAACAGACTCCATGAGGGTGGTATGAGGGCCCGACGTCCACAGGTGGGGGTTGTGCTTACAGCCCAACACCGTGCAGGACGTTTGGCATTTGCCAGAGAACACCAAGATTGGCAAATTCGCCACTGGCGCCCTGTGCTCTTCACAGATGAAAGCAGGTTCACACTGAGCACATGTGACAGACGTGACAGAGTCTGGAGACGCCGTGGAGAACGTTCTGCTGCCAGCAACATCCTCCAGCATGACCGGTTTGGCGGTGGGTCAGTCATGGTGTGGGGTGGCATTTCTTTGGGGGGCCGCACAGCCCTCCATGTGCTTGCCAGAGGTAGCCTGAATGCCATTAGGTACCGAGATGAGATCTTCAGACCCCTTGTGAGACCATATGCTGGTGCAGTTGGCCCTGGGTTCCTCCTAATGCAAGACAATGCTAGACCTCATGTGGCTGGAGTGTGTCAGCAGTTCCTGCAAGAGGAAGGCATTGATGCTATGGACTGGCCCGCCCGTTCCCCAGACCTGAATCCAATTGAGCACATCTGGGACATCATGTCTCGCTCCATCCACCAACGCCACACCACAGACTGTCCAGGAGTTGGCGGATGCTTTAGTCCAGGTCTGGGAGGAGATCCCTCAGGAGACCATCCGCCACCTCATCAGGAGCATGCCCAGGCGTTGTAGGGAGGTCATACAGGCACGTGGAGGCCACACACACTACTGAGCCTCATTTTGACTTGTTTTAAGGACATTACATCAAAGTTGGATCAGCCTGTAGTGTGGTTTTCCACTTTAATTTTGAGGGTGACTCCAAATCCAGACCTCCATGGGTTGATAAATTTGATTTCCATTGATCATTTGTGTGATTTTGTTGTCAGCACATTCAACTATGTAAAGAAAAAAGTATTTAATAAGATTATTTCATTCATTCAGATCTAGGATGTGTTATTTTAGTGTTCCCTTGATTTTTTTGAGTAGTGTATATTTTATATTTGAGATTCTTCAAATAGCCACCCTTTGCCTTGATGACAGCTTTGCACACTCTTGGCATTCTTTCAACCAGCTTCACCTGGAATGCTTTTCCAACAGTCTTGAAGGAGTTCCCACATATGCTGAGCACTTGTTGCCTGCTTTTCCTTCACTCTGCCGTCCGACTCATCCCAAACCATCTCAATTGGGTTGAGGTCAGGGGATTGTGGAGGCCAGGTCATCTGATGCAGCACTCCATCACTCTCCTTCTTGGTCAAATAGCCCTTACACAGCCTGGAGGTGTGTTGGGTCATTGTCCTGTTGAAAATCAAATGATAGTCCCACTACCCAAACCAAATGGGATGGCGTATCGCTGTAGAATGCTGTGGTAGTCATGCTGGTTAAGTATGCCTTGAATTCTAAATAAATCACAGACAGTGTCACCAGCAAAGCACCCCCACACCATAACACTTCCTCCTCCATGCTTTACGGTGGGAACTACACATGCGGAGATCATCCGTTCACCCACACCGTGTCTCACAAAGACACAGCGGTTGGAACCAAAAATCTCCAGTTTGGACTCCAGACCAAAGGACAAATTTCCACCGGTCTAATGTCCATTACTCGTGTTTCTTGGCCCAAGCAGGTCTCTTCTTATTATTGGTGTCCTTTAGTAGTGGTTTCTTTGCAGCAATTCGACCATGAAGGCCTGATTCACACAGTCCCCTCTGAACAGTTGATGTTGAGATGTGTCTGTGACTTGAACTCTGTGAAGCATTTATTTGGGCTGCAATTTCTGAGGCTGGTAACACTAATGAACTTATCCTCTGCAGCAGAGGTAACTCTGGGTCTTCCATTCCTGTGGCGGTCCTCATGAGAGCCAGTTTCGTCATAGCGCTTGATGGTATGGACTTGGTATTTTACCGAATAGGGCTATCTTCTGTATACCCCCCCACACACACACACTTTTTTGGTTACTACATATTCCGTATGTGCTATTTCATAGTTTTGATGTCATCACTATTATTCTACAATGTAGAAAATAGTAAAACATAAAGGAAAACCCTTGAATGAGTAGGTGTGTCCAAACTTTTGACTGGTAGTGTATATATTTTTTTCTTTCAGCATTTTGGAAATTCTCCCGCGTCCCCATTTTCATATCGTACCCCTAGTTTGGGAACCACTGCTCTAAGTTAATCTGGAAAGAACCCATTCAAACATGATCTTCCAGATACGTAATGTCCCCCAACTCCAACTCTCCACTGGAAATTCAATTCAAACAATTAGCGGAAGCGGACAAGCGGTAAAGTCCAAAGCCAAACGGAGTAGGAGGGAGGGAGGAGCCAAGCAGGCCTCTGGGATACATACAGGATGCTGGCTGAGCTGGCTGGGGGTAGGCTGTACATAAATAACAGTGAAGCACTATTGTGAGAGACAATATGTCATTGTTCAGCAATGAAGCTATGGCCACCACGCTGCCTGGATGACAGTACGGGCCTGTGTGCTAACTAGCTAACAGTCACATTTTGGGCTCTCTCTTCTCTCCCTCCCATCTCCCCCTCCCATCTCCCCCTCCTATCTCCCCCTCCTATCTCCCCCTCCTATCTCCCCCTCCTATCTCCCCCTCCTATCTCCCCCTCTCAGATGAAGACATCAGACTGAGACAGTGTTTAAGTCAAGCACACGCTGTTCCTCTTCGTTGGAAGAAACAACATTCAGACACAGGAAGGAGCTTCACACAGATCTGCCACTTAGAGCAATAAAATACAGACAAACTCCCTGAAACAGCGCTACATAAAAATCAGGAGTTCATCTGTGTCCTCCCTGTCGCTCTATGAAGGAGGAGAGACGGCAGTACGAGACATGGATCTGTACATATAGACGACCTTATCCTTTGTTAGGACAGGCCTAAGTATCCCTTTCAGACGTACCCCACATAAATCATACTATACAGTCCTGACTACAGTTAGTATCAGTCATTTGATGTTTAGGATGCATGAAAATCAGTCCAAAGCTGTCAAATCCACCTCTTCTCTCCCTGTAATCTTTAGAATGTGCTCCCCTCTAATGTATATTTGCATGGTGGCACTGGAGGGCAATTCCAAGGTAACTTAATTACACTTTGGCTCAGATTTTTCACTTTAAAAAAATTTATGAAACAAAAAACAACTCTACAACTCTATGCACAAGGACTTCTTTGAACAATTTACTGTGCAGATGCAAATTTGGTAACAGTCAGAATTACAGCAAAATCTCCATCAGTTTTTTTTATGCGACCACAATTTTCCAAAAACTCTTAAACATCTGCTCCGAATTAAGATTGAAAGATTTCTGCAGAAAGAATGGGATTGTCAGCTATTACCTGACACTTTGAGTTTGAAAATAAATACATTTTGGTTGTTGAACTACAGTAAGTGGATTTACATCCGGTAACAGAATGACATCACGGGTCCCTGATCTGTACTATACAGAAATGCATAATTATGAATAACAAATATCATTATCTTCATGGTGATGTGTCCTGAATAGGTACACAAAGATAGAAATATTCAATATCCTTCTTTCGCATATCTGGCTATTATTATACACATTGACTATTATTCTAATGAGATCTGCCCCCCAAACAAGACCACATTTGGTTGTTCGTGACCATACCAAATCTGAACCTATCATAGATGTCTATGTTTCACAAGTTTGGTCATCTAGGTACAGCACAGTAGAGTACAGCAGAGTAGATATGTTCAGTGCAGTCCACTACATTATACTCTAGTGTACTGAAACTCTACTGAAACTACTGTACTCTACCGTACTGAAACTCTACTCTACCGTCCAAACTTGTGAAACATAGACATCTATAATTAGTTCCGATTTGGTCCGGCCATGGCGGACTGAACAAATTTAAACTACTTTTCGACGTCCGGTGTCGGTGCTCAGTGGGTGAGGATGCTTGTTACAGTAAATGGAAAGAGGGTAGGTGGTAGGTTTCATGGTAGGTGTCAGTAAGAGCCAGAAGTGGTGACATTAACTGGGGAGGGAGAGACAGAGAGAGAGAGAGAGAGAGAGAGAGAGAGAGCGAGAGGTGAGAGAGAGAGGAGTGAGAGTGTGGTCGGAGAGAGAGTGGAGGGAGAGAGAGGATGGAGAGAGAGAGCGGCAGAGAGAGGGGGAGAGGGAGGGGTTGACCACCAGAGGACAGAAAGACAAAGAAAACAGTAATGAGCTGAACATGTTCAGACAGAGTGTAAAAGTAGGATCATGGAGGGGATAGAGTGGGGGTATCTACAGTGCCTTGCAAAAGTATTCATCCCCCTTGGCGTTTTTCCTATTTTGTTGCATTGCAACCTGTAATTTAAATTGATTTTTATTTGGATTTCATGTAATGGACATACACAGAATAGTCAAAATTGGTGAAGTTTTAAATGAAAAAAATTACCAAATAATGGAAAAGTGGTGTGTGCATATGTATTCACCCCCTTTGCTATGAAGCCCCGAAATAAGATCTGGTGCAACCAATTACCTTCAGAAGTCACATAATTTGTTAAATAAAGTCCACCTGTGTGCAATCTAAGTGTCACATGATCTCAGTATATATACACCTGTTCTGAAAGGCCCCCAGAGTCTGCAACACCACTAAGCAAGCGGCACCACCAAGCAAGCGTCACCATGAAGACCAAGGAGCTCTCCAAACAGGTCAGGGACAAAGTTGTGGAGAAGTACAGATCAGGGTTGGGTTATAAAAAAATATCTGAAACTTTGAACATCCCACGGAGCACCATTAAATCCATTATTAAAAAATGGAAAGAACATGGCACCACAACAAACCTGCCAAGAGAGGGCCGCCCACCAAAACTCACAGACCAGGCAAGGAGGGCATTAATCAGAGAGGCAACAAAGAGACCAAAGATAACCCTGAAGGAGCTGCAAAGCTCCACAGCGGAGATTGGAGTATCTGTCCATAGGACCACTTTAAGCCGTACACTCCACAGAGCTGGGCTTTACGGAAGAGTGGCTAGAAAAAAGACATTGCTTAAAGAAAGAAATCAGCAAACACATTTGGTGTTCGCCAAAAGGCATGTGGGAGACTCCCCAAACATATGGAAGAAGGTACTCTGGTCAGGTGAGACAAAAATTTAGCTTTTTGGCCATCAAGGAAAAACGCTATGTCTGGCGCAAACCCAACACCTCTCATCACCCCGAGAACACCATCCATGTTTTTCCATCGGCAGGGACTGGGAAACTGGTCAGAATCGAAGGAATGATGGATGGCGCTAAATACAGGGAAATTCTTGAGGGAAACCTGTTTGTCTTCCAGAGATTTGAGACTGGGACGGAGGTTCACCTTCCAGCAGGACAATGACCCTAAGCATACTGCTAAAGCAACACTCGAGTGGTTTAAGGGGAAACATTTAAATGTCTTGGAATGGCCTAGTCAAAGCCCAGACCTCAATCCAATTGAGAATCTGTGGTATGACTTAAAGATTGCTGTACACCAGCGGAACCCATCCAACTTGAAGGAGCTGGAGCAGTTTTGCCTTGAAGAATGGGCAAAAATCCCAGTGGCTAGATGTGCCAAGCTTATAGAGACATACCCCAAGAGACTTGCAGCTGTAATTGCTGCAAAAGGTGGCTCTACAAAGTATTGACTTTGGGGGGGGGGGGGGGGGGGGGGGGGGGGGGGGTGAATAGTTATGCATGCTCAAGTTCTGTTTTTTTGTCTTATTTCTTGTTTGTTTCACAAGAAAAAACATTTTGCATCATCAAAGTAGTAGGCATGTTGTGTAAGTCACCCCCCTAGGCATGTTGTGTAAGTCAAATGATACAACCCCCCCCAAAAAATAAATTTTAATTCCAGGTTGTAAGGCAACAAAATAGGAAAAATGCCAAGGTGGGGTGAATACTTTCGCAAGCCACTGTATGCCTTAATTTTTCAAATATATAGACTAATTTGACATGCTCCTATGAACTTAACATGTTGGTGCTCATGGGTCCTTCTAGATGGAAATGCCATGGCCTACCAAATGAGTCTTAACTGAAATAGGAAGCTGTTTCTGCCTGTTCCTGCAGCACAAACAGAAGAAGTGGTTGGACTACAGTATGCAGAGGGCAAGCTTGAGGTTCTATGCACTTACCAATAAAATGGTGTGTGTGTGTGTGTGTGGTGTGTGTGTGTGTGTGCACGTTTTACTATACCTGTGTGTACCAGAAGTCCTCACAAGAATAGCAAACCAACTAATATTCAGTGAAGGGAGGACATTTTGTCAGTCCTCACTTGTAAAAAGCTATTTTTGACTTAGGGGTTAGGTTTAGATTTAGATTTAGGGGTTAATGTTATGGAAAATAGGATTTTGAAGGGGAATCAATTGTTGCTCCCCAAACAGTCCTCACGAGTATAGTAAGACATAGCTGTGTGTGTGTGTGTCCTTCCCAAATGAGTTGTTGAAACCATCCTCAAGATGAGGGTAATAACCACAGCAACACGGGTGTTATTATGAATCACTGTTTAAACATTATGGCTGATAACACAATGCACCTGACATCACTGAAACACAACACATGTAAATAGGCTGTCCGTGTTTCGTTTGGATTTTGGACAACAGTAATGACTGATATCCTGCTAAACTCTCTTTAAGTTCTCACAGTCCACTGGAAATAATTTCTTGTTGTGACACATCTGATATTTGAGAGCAGGAAAACAGAACAGGAAATCAAAAGTGAATGTAATGTTAACTCAGGAGTATCTAAGTCATCTTTGGGATTGGAAACTTGTTGAATAGTAAAATGTCATTGGAGCTAGTTCTCTATTGATACGTAGTCTAAATTACATGTGAAACTCCATTACAAATCTATGCTGCATTATACTGCGTCACATTTAAACCTAAAACAGGGTCACAGATAACGATGCCTGTAGTGTCCATCTATAGACAGATAGAGAGGCCTCTGAAGGTCAACGATTCTGGTCAGTGTAACGTTGTGCGTCACACAAAACATCTAACAACCAAAGACTGACCCAAGCGGCTCTGAGACACTTCATGCAGTAGGGTTATAGAGGAACTATCATCTGGGCCATGTTACAAGACGCACTGAACAACATAACATTCAGCCATTCATGACATTTGATTTAAATGAATAATCTCACTCGCCACAATCCCAAAAAAACAGAGCTAAAATTGGGGAAGTATTTTAAATGAGAAATTCCAGTGATTATTTTAAACTTCTTAGGTCTCTCCGTGTTCTGCTGATACTGCTGCATTGTCTAACAAATAACTTACTGAATAGCTCGTCAAGGCTGTTCTTGATTCAATCAGGTTTCGGCTGTGAAACTCCACAACAGACAGATTCCGAGATCCCAAAACCCACTCAAGACGAAGAGGAGGGTGGGAGATGACCCTAGCAAATCTACAATGGGGTGGGTCTGTAAACCCATAGCCTACAGCAAAACAGAGGTGATAGTATAATGGTCATATATAATTTTATTTAAAATAGTCAAATAAATTATTACACACAATCTATTTCATTATTCTGCGGTAGGACTACACAGAACTCTACAAGTAACATATAGTGGAATGCTGTCATTATTCACCCAGTTACAGTGAAAACGACAATATTGATCAATAATAATGATAATTTAAATCATTATTAGGCATATAGCAAAAAATATATATGTATTGAAGAAGTGCGCTCCATCACAATCTCATGCTGCAGGATATCGCCCAGTCACAGTGCGAGATCCGAGACGGTCACTGAAACATTCGAACCTATTAGTCTAAATATTCTGACAATCATGCATTACCTTTTGCTGTGTTTCGATGTGCGTGGTTGTTATCCCAATGGAACATTAAACGCTTGAATCCCTCGGTTTTTCAGTTGTGACGGGAGAAGAAGAGGAAACACCATCCCTGTCCGCAACTTTGTTGCAATGGTTAGTTTACTCCGCAAAGTATCAACGAGATCTTAATTAAAGGGGAGGGCGGCGGTGGAGTTTAGCCGACATTCTTCTGTTCAACAAACTCAGCCTCAATTTGAAAGTTGCACATCAATCTTTTGACTGCACTACGTTGCCTTTGCAAGAAAAGTAAGATTTGTTTTCTTATTTTACTTTCGGAATAGGCCTAATGCTGAAGAATGGACACCTTGCAATCAGGTCATTTAATTATACTGTGTGGGGGCCCCATGCACTTATTTTAAAAACATTCCCTATTGCCTACAAAATAACCAAAAAATACTACACAGTATGTGCAATACGTAGCCTACGGTTTAGTGTTAGTTAGGTTAGGTGCATGGTGGGAAAAGTAATGTAATGTGTGCTTCAATAGACCACGTGATGTGGGCTTCAATAGGCCTACTTGATACAATAGACCACGTGATGTGGGCTTCAACCCAATGAGAGATAAGAATTTGAAATAGCTACAAAAATGTGGCTGTTGAGGTGTAACCAAGATGTGGTCCTGGATTTTCCTGACACACATACACACACATGTATATTACACATTTTCACATTAGTTGAAGTTCCAGGGGCATCATGAATCACACACATTGTTATTCAAAAATCAAAGGCAACTCAGATTATGGATAATATATGGTTGATCTTTGGAGATCATGAGTGCACACAATACAATAACATCACACACTTTAATTCTCAAAGATCACTCAAAATGGAAGACGTTTTATACTAGACAAAGCAATGAACTGTGAGTTCTAAAAGCAACGAGAAGCTTTTGTGTCGTGTGAGAAATCTAGACAACAGTGGCGTTTCCTTTCCCTCAAAAACAATCTGACTGACGCGGACAGGAAGTGGGACAGGAAGTGGCCTTGGGGAATCCGGAAGTGCCTGACACAATACAGATTCTGAGGATTGGCCCCCAGCTACATTTTTAAGTTTGAAAAAGGATACAGTCATCCATAAATGTTCCTTATCGACAGAGAAAAACAAACATTGCGGTCAAAATTGGAATTTGTACTTAGAAATTACGATTAGGAATCAAGAACATCAGCCGCGAAGGTCTTAAAATCAGGACACAACTTCTCTTTATTTAACATGTGTGTTGAATTGAACATGATGCCTCTCCATTTTGGAAACATGTCAGAAAATCTTACAAAAAGACAGTTAGAATTAAATGAAACCACATGCCTAATAATACATTTTTTAATTAATAAAGACAAAATCTTTGATATTCAGTCAGGACAGGCAAGACCAAAGTATATGTCACGCCCTGACTCAGGGGACGCTTATATGTTGAGTCAGGGTGTGTATATTCTATGTTGTGTTGTTCTATGTTATAGGTTCTAGTTTGTCTAGATCTATGTTGGCCGGTGTGGTTCCCAATCAGAGGCAGCTGTCGCTCGTTGTCTCTGATTGGGGACCATACTTAGGCAGCCTGTTGGCACTAGTGGGTTGTGGGATCTTGTTCCGTGTTGAAGGTATGTTGTTTGTGTACCTTGGACTTGTCGTTTCTTGTTTTGTCGTTGTGCTTATAAGTCAAATAAACATGTATGCATATCACGCTGCGCCTTGGTCTGACCCGTCGATGAACGAACGTGACAGTATAACTGAAGTAATGACCTTTTAACAGCTAAACATGCTTCATGACCCCTAAGGTTATAACAAGCTATAACAGATTATGACTGATTATAATGATTCCAGAGAGGAGCTTGAATTCCCTCAGGTGTTGTTATGCTGCCATCTCTCCATCTCTCCTCCCCTGTGACTGTCATTAGGAGCCTCAGTGGGCCAATCACTGTACAAAAGCACACTTGTCTTGGTGCATTATGCTAATTCACTTCCTAACAAACTGACAACATTCCAATGTTCTAACCGCTCATGGCTTCCGGAACACTGGGGGATGATGAAATGTTATGACGTTTTACTGCCACTGGGAGGCACTAGAGACCTGGAAATATACTGTAGTAGGCTGAATGATAAGGTGACTGTATTGTTAACGGCTATTGTATCTCACTTCAAATGAAAACTTAGTCAAATCAAACATGAATATGGAGAAAAAAAACATGTTAGGGTCTTTAAATTAGTTATGAAATAGACACAAGTTTTACACTATTATTATAATCAATTAGATATTATACCATTGAATTGAAGAATAGCACCGTAAATACATTGTCTATTTTTGGAAGAATAATCATATTTCTTTCCCAATTTGTTGTGCTATATGAAAATACCCTGTCAAACCCCTCTGACTCAAAAAGTTATAGATAAATTACGACTAAATGCAACAAGACAAATTTGCAGATCAAAATGATAGTAAATCATACATGTATATTATTTGTACTGTACACACACACTCTCACACACATGCAAAGACACACACCAAACTCAACGCAGAGGGTCTGTCGGAAATTGCACCCCCTATTTCCTAAATAGTGCACTACTTTTGACCACAGCCTTACGGGCCCTGCACAAAAGTAATACACTAAATAGGGAAATAGGGTGTCATTTTAAACACAGCCTCACAATTCTATAAAAAAACAGTCTTTTCACTCCGAGTTAGCCTAGGTCTCTTCATCGTCACTGTGATGTTGAGCTCGTTTCTCCTCTGTCAGGCTGCTCTCGTCGATGTTCTCCAGTGAGTCAGCTCTCTGCAGTACGAGGTCAGCCACGTTTATACACGGTAAGGTGTTCTGCTCAGGATACATCCAGGGCTTCAGGTTAGGGTTGTGCTTCCTCTTCCACTCTGGATACTTCTGACAGGCCTTGAAGATCTTCTTCATGGCCTGGGGGGGGGAGCACAGATATTCAGATTCTAAATGGATGTGTTAGCTAAGCGCCTCTCGGGTAAGCCTTGAGACATGTTTTGAAGGGTTTTATAAGTAAGCAATACACTGTAAATTATTTGTTTATAAATAGTTAATAAATGTGTAATAAACAGCTATCGCCATGGTAATAACACTTTTCATGGTATCCTTGATAGTGATTTTGGAATCAAAACAATCAAAAACATCTTTGGGAAATGCATGTACTTCCTGAAACCACTAGGTGGAGGCAGAGGTACACAATAATTTCTCTCTCCCAAACCAGAGACGGAAAATACAGGTTGCCCCCTGTGCTTTGTTAAGTCACACTCTCTCTAGTTCTCGAGATACTACATTTCTAAGACAGGACCGATTATTATAATGATATTATAATATTACCTTTGGTGCTACGAACTGAGACACTCTATTCACCACCCACTTTGGAAGGGAGCCTGCAGTCCAGACAAAAACATGAAAGTTTAACACCAATACAATACTCATAAAGTATTTATTGCAGGCAGGCCTATGATAGCAAATACAATACTGAGAAATGTGTTCTCTCTTTAATAAAACACACTGCTTCCTGTTGACATAGTTCCTGCATGACCCCTGGTTTACAGTAAGGACAGTATACAGTAGATATAGTTCCTGCAGGACCCCTGGTTTACAGTAAGGACAGTATACAGTAGATATAGTTCCTGCAGGACCCCTGGTTTACAGTAAGGACAGTATACAGTACAGAAGTGTGATGATAGTGTGCCAGCTGTATGAGTTTTACAGCAACGCGCACACACACACACAACACACACACAAACACACACACACACACACACCACAACACACACATACACATACACATATCCTCAACACTGACACGTAACAGTACACATACAAAAACACCACTATGACTTTACAGCACCCACACACACCACACACACACACACACACACATACCACACACAGACTCACACACTACACACCACCACACCACAGCATGACACACACACGAATTATTACAAACACGCCTAAGCTCGCACAGCACAACAAACAGACATCAGCACGACAAACACATGCTTCTCAGTGTGGTTAACTGGTCCAGCCGGCCATCGAACCCACGCTCCCACACAAGGAACAACAGACATATCACAACATAGCACAAGAACGATGCATCACTCACTCAAACAATTTTATGCGTAGTTAATTAGTAGCACTAGGACATTAAAAATACAAAAGCTAGGTCCAATGATGAAAACAGTTGTTAAATTACAATGGAACACACGTAGTAGTTTTAGACAATGTGGTGATCTGCTGCACCCCGCCTTTAGGTTTAGAAAAGGTGCAAGAGAAGATATATACTGTAGTGAAATGGTCTCTCCACACTTCAATCAGATGCAATGTCAGTATTTTAATGGCTACGCTTTCGGTCAAAAATGCCCATCTTTAGAGCACAGTCGTTAAAAGCACCTTCAATATCTTGGATAGGAAGGATACTCCGCAGGTCATATCATCAGCCTAGTAGGGTTCAAAAAGTGACTTATGTAACATCATCTTTTTGCGTTTGATCTTTGTCTGATTCCTTCCTAGGACCTATGTCTGTGTACACAGAGATATTTCAACAGGACTCTCTCAGTGGAGTGAAGCGAGGGGAGTTTCAGCTAACATTAATGCTGTTACGTACACAAACAGCAGGGTTCTCGTAGCACTCAATGACAACGATGCACTGTATCCATATCCAGTGTTGACCAGCATAGAGCTGTACTGTAAACAACCAAAACACGATGTTATTTAAATCATTTAAGATGCTCAGTACTGTATATAACCAGTGAAAAGGTTTACCTTTGGGATCGACCTGCGTTAGGTAATAGAGAGTGGAGGAGTTTGCTCCGTTGGACTGAATCAGGTAGCCTGTCAGCAGCGACACCGCTCTCACGTAGTCCTTTCTGGGTGGATATTGCTGGAATAAGACCGATCAAATGAAAGTATTATTCACGAATGAATTACCATAACAAATTAAACCAGTCAGCTGTTCACATTATATTTAGACTTTTTTTTCTTTTAAAAAAAAAATTTTCACAACCCGGACTTCTGTGATAAGTCACAACAGAGGCATGTAGGGATGTTGACCTCTGGCAGGCAGTGCTAATGGCATCTATCTATTGTACAAATTTCACTATAAGACATGCTCAACTTTAGATAAGTAAAATCATCTTTGGGTGCTGTAGCACAAGAGTAATCCTACTTGTACGAAAAAGATGACCAGCCACTCGTCCGTTGTGACGGCTGATAATATTCCGAGCCAACCAACACTGTGTGTAGATAAAGGTACATACCGGGTGTTTGACAGAGTAGTTGATGATCAGGTAGTCGTTGCCCAGAGGAAGCCATGACCTCATGGTGACGAAGTCCCTGTTCTTCAGGGGGCTCGGGCACTTCCCTACAGACACAATGACAACATGACTTTAGTGGAAGATGTTTCAATGTGTCCACGTGTCCACATACTGTAGTATTCTATTGTCTAATTCTCTGGAGTTCTCAATGATTCTCAGTGATGAACTGCCTCTCAACCCAGTCTATTCAGTCTATTTCTATGACTGCTCGTTTGCTGTACCTTTCATCTGCAACATGTGGTTAGTCATAGAAACAGCTTTTACTATGAGAAACATGGTTTAGTCTACTACATATGGGGCATATTGACTCACACTAACTGGCGTTCATGTACGGCAGTTGACTCAAGGTGAAGTATATAAAACTGTCAAATATAGTAGTGAAATAAAAGACATGACAGTTGAAACCAAAGGGAGGACAGTGAGCAGGAGTAAAGATAAGATAAGAGGCAAGTACATTAGAGCTCAGTAAATATCCTGGTTAGTCTCTGTGGGATAGTAGTGACAGTACTGGTTAGTCTCAGTGGGATAGTAGTGACAGTACTGGTTAGTCCCTGTGGGATAGTAGTGACAGTACTGGTTAGTCTCTCGTGGGATAGTAGTGACAGTACTGGTTAGTCTCTCTGTGGGATAGTAGTGACAGTACTGGTTAGTCTCTCTGTGGGATAGTAGTGACAGTACTGGTTAGTCTCTCTGTGGGAAAGTAGTGACAGTACTGGTTAGTCTCTCTGTGGGATAGTAGTGACAGTACTGGTTAGTCTCTCTGTGGGATAGTAGTGACAGTACTGGTTAGTCTCTCTGTGGGATAGTAGTGACAGTACTGGTTAGTCCTCTGTGGGATAGTAGTGACAGTACTGGTTTAGTCCTCTGTGGGATAGTAGTGACAGTACTGGTTAGTCTCTCTGTGGGATAGTAGTGACAGTACTGGTTAGTCTCTGTGGGATAGTAGTGACGTACTGGTTAGTCTCTCTGTGGGATAGTAGTGACAGTACTGGTTAGTCTCTCTGTGGGATAGTAGTGACAGTACTGGTTGCTCCTCTGTGGGATAGTAGTGACAGTACTGGGTTAGTCTCTCTGTGGTTATAGTATGACAGTACTGGTTAGTCTCTCTGTGGATAGTAGTGACAGTACTGGTTAGTCTCTCTTGTGGGATAGTAGTGACAGTACTGGTTAGTCTCTCTGTGTGGGATAGTAGTGACAGTACTGGTTAGTCTCTCTGTGGGATAGTAGTGACAGTACTGGTTAGTCCTCTGTGGGATAGTAGTGACAGTACTGGTTAGTCTCTCTGTGGGATAGTAGTGACAGTACTGGTTAGAGTCTCCTCTGTGGGATAGTAGTGACAGTAACCGTTAGTCTCTCTGTGGGATAGTAGTGACAGTACTGGTTAGTCTCTCTGTGGGATAGTAGTGACAGTACTGGTTAGTCTCTGTGGGATAGTAGTGACAGTACTGTTAGTCTCTCTGTGGATAGTAGTGACAGTACTGGTTAGTCTCTCTGTGGGATAGTAGTGACAGTACTGGTTAGTCTCTGTGGGATAGTAGTGACAGTACTGGTTAGTCTCTCTGTGGGATAGTAATGACAGTACTGGTTAGTCTCTCTGTTGGATAGTAGTGACAGTACTGGTTAGTCTCTCTGTGGGATAGTAGTGACAGTACTGGTTTAGTCTCTCTGTGGGATAGTAGTGACAGTACTGGTTAGTCCTCTCTGTGTGGTATAGTAGTGACAGTACTGGTTAGTCTTTATGGGATAGTAGTGACAGTACTGGGTTAGTCTCTCTGTGGGATAGTAGTGACAGTACTGGTTAGTCCTCTGTGGGATAGTAGTGGCAGTAACTGGTTAGTCTCTCTGTGGATAGTAGTGACAGTACTGGTTAGTCTCTGTGGGATAGTAGTGACAGTACTGGTTAGTCTCTCTGTGGGATAGTAGTGACAGTACTGGTTAGTCTCTCTGTGGGATAGTAGTGACAGTACTGGTTTAGTCCTCTCTGTGGGATAGTAGTGACAGTACTGGTTAGTCTCTCTGTGGGATAGTAGTGACAGTACTGGTTAGTCTCTCTGTGGGATAGTAGTGACAGTACTGGTTAGTCTCTATGGGATAGTAGTGACAGTACTGGTTAGTCTCTCTGTGGGATAGTAGTGACAGTACTGGTTAGTCTCTCTGTGGGATAGTAGTGACAGTACTGGTTAGTCTCTGTGGGATAGTAGTGACAGTACTGGTTAGTCTCTCTGTGGTATAGTAGTGACAGTACTGGTTAGTCTCTCTGTGGGATAGTAGTGACAGTACTGGTTAGTCTCTCTGTGGGAGTAGTAGTGACAGTACTGGTTAGTCTCTCTGTGTGGGATAGTAGTGACAGTACTGGTTAGTCTCTCTGTGGGATAGTAGTGACAGTACTGGTTAGTCTCTGTGGGATAGTAGTGACAGTACTGGTTAGTCTCTCTGTGGGATAGTAGTGACAGTACTGGTTAGTCTCTCTGTGGGATAGTAGTGACAGTACCAGTTAGTCTCTCTGTGGGATAGTAGTGACAGTACTGGTTAGTCTCTCTGTGGGTAGTAGTGACAGTACTGGTTAGTCTCTCTGTGGGATAGTAGTGACAGTACTGGTTAGTCTCTGTGGGATAGTAGTGACAGTACTGGTTAGTCTCTCTGTGGGATAGTAGTGACAGTACTGGTTAGTCTCTCTGTGGGATAGTAGTGACAGTACTGGTTAGTCTCTGTGGGATAGTAGTGACAGTACTGGTTAGTCTCTCTGTGGGATAGTAATGACAGTACTGGTTAGTCTCTCTGTTGGATAGTAGTGACAGTACTGGTTAGTCTCTGTGGGATAGTAGTGACAGTACTGGTTAGTCTCTCTGTGGGATAGTAGTGACAGTACTGGTTAGTCTCTCTGTGTGGTATAGTAGTGACAGTACTGGTTAGTCTTTATGGGATAGTAGTGACAGTACTGGTTAGTCTCTCTGTGGGATAGTAGTGACAGTACTGGTTAGTCTCTGTGGGATAGTAGTGGCAGTACTGGTTAGTCTCTCTGTGGGATAGTAGTGACAGTACTGGTTAGTCTCTATGGGATAGTAGTGACAGTACTGGTTAGTCTCTCTGTGGGATAGTAGTGACAGTACTGGTTAGTCTCTGAGGGATAGTAGTGACAGTACTGGTTAGTCTCTATGGGATAGTAGTGACAGTACTGGTTAGTCTCTCTGTGGGATAGTAGTGACAGTACTGGTTAGTCTCTCTGTGGGATAGTAGTGACAGTACTGGTTAGTCTCTGTGGGATAGTAGTGACAGTACTGGTTAGTCTCTCTGTGGGATAGTAATGACAGTACTGGTTAGTCTCTCTGTGGGATAGTAGTGACAGTACTGGTTAGTCTCTGTGGGATAGTAGTGACAGTACTGGTTAGTCTCTCTGTGGGATAGTAGTGACAGTACTGGTTAGTCTCTCTGTGTGGTATAGTAGTGACAGTACTGGTTAGTCTCTATGGGATAGTAGTGACAGTACTGGTTAGTCTCTCTGTGGGATAGTAGTGACAGTACTGGTTAGTCTCTCTGTGGGATAGTAGTGACAGTACTGGTTAGTCTCTATGGGATAGTAGTGACAGTACTGGTTAGTCTCTCTGTGGGATAGTAGTGACAGTACTGGTTAGTCCCTGTGGGATAGTAGTGACAGTACTGGTTATTCTCTATGGGATAGTAGTGACAGTACTGGTTAGTCTCTCTGTGGGATAGTAGTGACAGTACTGGTTAGTCTCTCTGTGGGATAGTAGTGACAGTACTGGTTAGTCTCTGTGGGATAGTAGTGACAGTACTGGTTAGTCTCTCTGTGGGATAGTAGTGACAGTACTGGTTAGTCTCTGTGGGATAGTAGTGACAGTACTGGTTAGTCTCTCTGTGGGATAGTAGTGACAGTACTGGTTAGTCTCTGTGGGATAGTAGTGACAGTACTGGTTAGTCTCTGTGGGATAGTAGTGACAGTACTGGTTAGTCTCTGTGGGATAGTAGTGATAGTACTGGTTAGTCTCTCTGTGGGATAGTAGTGACAGTACTGGTTAGTCTCTGTGGGATAGTAGTGACAGTACTGTTAGTCTCTCTGTGGGATAGTAGTTACATTACTGGTTAGTCTCTCTGTGGGATAGTAGTGACAGTACTGGTTAGTCCTCTGTGGGATAGTATGACAGTACTGGTTAGTCTCTCTGTGGATAGTAGTGGACAGTACTGTTAGTTCTCTGTGGGATAGTAGTGACAGTACTGGTTAGTCTCTCTGTGGGATAGTAGTGACAGTACTGGTTAGGTCTTCTCTGTGGGATAGTAGTGACAGTACTGGTTAGTTCTCTGTGGGATAGTAGTGACAGTACTGGTTAGTCTCTCTGTGGGATAGTAGTGACAGTACTGGTTAGTCTCTCTGTGGGATGTAGTGACGTACTGGTTAGTCTCTTGTGGATGTAGTGACAGTACTGGTTATCTCTTGTGGGATAGTAGTGACAGTACTGGTTAGTCCTCTGTGGGATAGTAGTGGACAGTACTGGTTAGTCTCTCTGTGGATAGTAGTGACAGTACTGGTTAGTCTCTGTGGGATAGTAAGTGACAGTACTGGTTAGTCTTCTTGGGATAGTAGTGACAGTACTGGTTAGTCTCTCTGTGGGATAGTAGTGACAGTACTGGTTAGTCTCTGTGGGATAGTTAGTGACAGTACTGGTTAGTCTCTCTGTGGGAAGTAGTGACAGTACTGGTTAGTCCTTTGTGGGATAGTAGTGACAGTACTGGTTAGTCTCTCTGTGGGATAGTAGTGACAGTACTGGTTAGTCTCTCTGTGGGGATAGTAGTGACAGTACTGGTTAGTCTCTGTGGGATAGTAGTGACAGTACTGGTTAGTCTCTATGGGATAGTAGTGACAGTACTGGTTAGTCCTCTGTGGGATAGTAGTGACAGTACTGGTTAGTCTCTCTGTGGATAGTAGGTGACAGTACTGGTTAGTCTCTCTGTGGGATAGTAGGTGACAGTACTGGTTAGTCTCTCTGTGGGATAGTAGTGACAGTACTGGTTAGTCTCTGTGGGATAGTAGTGACAGTACTGGTTAGTCTCTCTGTGGGATAGTAGGTGACAGTACTGGTTAGTCTCTCTGTGGGATAGTAGTGGACAGTACTGGTTAGTCTCTGTGGGATAGTAGTGACAGTACTGGTTAGTCTCCTGTGGGATAGTAGTGACAGTACTGGTTAGTCTCTCTGTGGGATAGTAGTGACAGT